TATCAAGGGTTCTCAGGTAAAGGAAAGACCTGAAGCCTTAGTAGGCACCTGGAACTGTCCTGTGTCTAGTACCTTGACAACAGAAAGTAAGTCAGATCTGGAAACTGTAGGATTTATAATTTAGAGGAAGGACGCAAACTTGCTAGTAAGAAAGGTGATGTGTAATCCCAGGTAGAGTTCATACTAGGTGATTTTGTCAAGTGCTTAGATATTGGCAAAAGTCATTCAGATATAATTGAGGCGGGCTAGCAAAAGTAAGACCGTAACATTTTTGTGTATTGGTATGAGTTGAATTCTAATTATAGGCAAATGAATGTTGCAGGATAGCAAACAATGATCTGGAAAAAGATTTCCATTCAGCTAGTAAAAGCCACATTAGTAAAAAGCCACATTTAATTATGTGTTGAAGTAAGTAATAGATGTCTTACATCCTGTTTTTAAGACCTTGCACATTCTACAATAATCACTTATTTTTTCCTTAATAAAACTATATCATTTTTGTATGTGTAACAGCACCAGCGAAGAAGGCTTAGTACTACATAATATCTAATGAAAATTATTTTAATACACTATTGTTGTCTGTTAAATCTAATGTGTGTAGTATTGTATTTCTTTTATTTATTTGTTGGTTGTTACAGATACCGGGGCTTGTTCTCAGGGTCAGAATTTTGCTCAGAACTAGCAACCTACCATTTGAGCTATGCCTGCAGTTCCAGCTCTTTGCTAGTTAATTGGAGATAATTGTATCATAGATTTATTTTCCCAGACTGCTTCCCAACTACAATCCTCAGGTCTCAACTTCCTGAATCACTAGGATTATAGGTGTGAGTCACTGGAGCCCTGCTTATTTTTTATTACTTTTGACTAATGTGCATTTAATAATATTAGAAGCAAATACTACTGGGGAAACAAGTATATCATTCTCAAGCCACATTATGGGCATTCTTTTGCTTATATTTATTACAGAAACTTCTCAAAATTAATATAGTATAATAACAAATATTACATTTTTCCCTTATTATAGTTGTTTGGCAGATCTGGAGATAAGGAACAGAGTCAATTTACCACAAAAGTGAGTGAATTTTCCTATCATTGGCTATGTGAGATCAACGGCATTTTCTCAAAGAAAACCCAATATGAAAATTCTGTGTAAATAGTATCTATAAAATAATCTTGAGTAAACTTGCTGCACTGTTGAAGGTACCAAAGTTCCTACATTTTGGAATATAAATAAAAGCTAATACACATATCAGACAAAACTTACATGTAAGTTTATGTATTCCCCATGATGAGTGCTAAAATCAATGTTTAACTTATACTAGAGTAAAATGTCTAATTGATATTACAATAAAAGTTACTAAAGAAACAGAGAAATATAGCACTCTTGTATTCCAAAGGGAAAAATCATTGTCTGAAATCCAAGTGTTTTTATATCTAGGTTTTGTTTTTATTTTTAGTCTTCTAATCCCATTATTTGAAAATTGAATAAATGTGTATTTTTCAGGTCATTTTGTTTCACGAGTTTCTTGCTCAATAGACTGTGGGCCCACCTGGCAGAAGTATCTACTCCTCTCTAAATGCAATTCCTCAGCCTCATAAATTTCACAGAACATTTATTTTAGTTTGTACTGCTTTCAGGAAAAAAAAAAAAAAAAAAGGGCACTGGAAATGGGGCTTTCCACCACATGGCGTTTGGTTTCCTCCTTTGCTGGCTTTGTTTTCACATGCAAAAACTAAAGGGAAGTGCACTATCAGCCAGAATTCCGGAGTTTAGGTTACACATGCACACACAGGGTGTCACTGATACTAGGTCATGATGCCCAGGTGTCACTACTACTTGGTAGGAGCTATGTCATACCCTGTAATGACTGCACCAAAAAAACAACAACAACAACAACAAAATTTATGACAAAAAAAAGCAGCATATCTTGTCTCATGGCTTACAAGGTTTAGCATAGTAATCTGTATTTCCCTCACCTGCCTCTTGCCAAAGCATTAGCTGTAAAATAAAAAATAAATTACTTCTAAATTCATCCAGATGTATGGCCTCATATTTAGTAACCTAAACATATCTTTGAAAGAACATGTAACACGAAATGAACTACCAACTAAATTTAGTCCAATAACAAAGTCACACATCACTCTCTGACACAATCTAAGGGGACTCTATCTTTCTCTAAAAAGTAAGTGTAGTAGGCAGAAGTAGTTCTTCAGAAGAAATAATAATTTTGTGATTTCATAAGGAATGAATGCTATTTTTCATAAATGGTTTCAGAATTTTTTGAAGACTTGTCTTGAACTTTGATTCTAGGACCCAGTGAAACATCAAAGGCAACGTAAGTTTCCATAAATGTAACTCAATCACCCTATGACAGCATACTCTTAGAAGTGAGTTGGTATGTTTGGCATACTCAAACCTCTTGTAGGGCTATGATTGTTAGGCCTGGAAACTTTGTATGAAATATCCATTACTTATTCCCACTGCTCTAAACACATAATCTGTCACACAAAAAAAACAATAACAACAACGAACCAGGGCAAAGGACAGAGAAAAGGAAAGCCAAGCTTCAAATGAATGTAAAGGCCGAGATAAGGAATTCATTTATGATTTATAACTTCTTTTCAATAGCTACTCTCATGTAATTTTCTCTGAAAATTTGAAAATCCACTGGACTCAGGGGCAAAATCCAGAAAAACAAAACAAAGCACAGCAGGCTGGTGCAAACTTTCATAGCTTGTAACAATAGTTCTTATTCAGTCCTTGTGTTTGAATATCTAAAGAAACTGTGATCTGGTTTTCATTACTCCCCATCTGGTGTTATTGCCGGCTTTGTTCAGCAATTTCTGGCCATTTTGGCCTGATGGTTACTGTTTTGTTTTATGTTGCTATATTACACAGAATGTAACTGTTGTAGCCACCACCAAAGAAAAGAATAAGCTTGAATAAAGAAATTTTGATGGAAGAGTTCCTGATGATCCCTCTAACTACAGAAGTGTTTGTTTCAGCTTGACTACTGTCCACTTCTTACAAGGTGTAGGTGGGATGCATGAACATATCTTTCAGAGGGTAAAATAGAATTACAGATTCATATATCAAGATTAATTCTGTTGCCTTTTCTCTTCCTTTCTAAGGAGAATAATGTCTATACTTTCCCATATCTTGCTAACTACCAACTTATAGCTCATGACAAACTGATATCATATCACATGTTTAGAGATAAAAATATATGTGTCCTTGTATCTGTAATGCTTGGTTCTAGTAGCATAGTCCTCATCTGGAGGCAAAGCTGCAAATGACTGAAAGGCAAGCATCTCAGTAAAAACCAAATCCAATTTATGCTCTCTAAGGACAATTTCACCACTTTTGGTAGTAAAAAAAAAAAAAAGAAAACCACCTGAACTCTTTCACTTCTTTCTTAAGCAATAGTCATGAAGAAGATCTTTCGCTCTGCCTTATTTAAAAAAGCAATGTATGGCATCCTCCTTTAATTCTTTGCTATATTTGAAGTTATTTTCCCCAAACAAAGAAACAGTCATGAGTTACTAAGACATCCCAGAAAGAATAACCAAAATATAAACAAAACTAAAACCAGCGTTTTTTCTTCTTAAAGCTGTACTTTTTTTTTTTTTTTTTTGTCCAGGGTGGGGAAGAAGCTTTCAATCAGAGGACACGTTCTGGCATTCACAATAACTTTGGAAAATCAGTCCAGTTGTGGGGCTTGAACTCTGGGCCTGGGCACTGTTCCTCAGCTCTTCAGCTCAAGGCTAGCACTCTACCACTTGAGCCACAGCGCCACCCCTGGCTTTTTTCTTATGTGGTGCTGAGGAATCGAACCCAGGGCCTCGGGGCATGCAAGGCAAGCGCTCTACCACTGAGCTACCTTCCCAGCCCAAGCTGTACTTTTTTTGGAGAGACTACAGAACAGGTATGAGAAATAGTAAAATAATGATATATCACTTATAGCATACACCTCAACAACAACAAAATTTAACTAAATACTGCCAGTTTTTTATACAAAAGCTACCAGGTATTGTCATTGATCCATGTATAACTTATCTAATCATTACAACACTCTACAAATCAGGCCTTATTATAATCACAGGTTCATAGAAGGCACAATGTGTAACTGTCTTCAGTCACACAAGTGGTAAATAGATTAGACACAGCAGTATAGTTCAACTACCTTCAGCACCAGCTGATACTAACCCTCTGATACCAATTACTTTATTTTTCCATATAAAACTTGGCCAGGCTTAAAAATGCTCTTGACTTTTCCATATTTCTTGATTTCAGTATTATAATAAAGAATAGATGAGGAATAACAAATAACATGTACAAGAAGCATCCCAATATTCCAATGAGAACTCTGTCATGCAAGAGAGACCATATATATTCACAAATATTTAATATAACCTTTAAAAATGTGTAGCATTCTGAAACATGAAGAAACATTAGCCACAGATGTAGTCAAACAACTTCTGAAATGCTTCGGGAGAAAAGAGCCTGACCTTAATAAAATACCAACCCTAAAATCCTGTGGGATATTTATAGCCAAAGCTTAGATATAATGGCACCATCAGTAAATTCATTCCTAGTCAACAAATGTTACTAGAGCTCCAAAGAACGGAGAAATTAAAACATGCTTTACATGGGAACGTTTTCCCCAGTGATCCTCATTTTTATATAGGAAATCAATTTGCATCACTGATAATATCATTCACATCAGACAACACAAAGTTGTTAGGAGGTAATTTAGTTTGCTGCTAAAGCAATTTGATACTTGTTCTGATTTGTGGTTTTCATTTTGTTTGTTAATGAAAAAAATTAATGAGCAATGTTACCAGAAATACAACTCATCAAAGCATTGGCATTATTAAGGAGGTTTGCCATATACCACATTGGGATCATTGTGCAGCTGGGAGACCTCTTTTGCCAGGAAGACAATTGTGAATTAAATAGGATAGGCAAGGCCTTCAGGCCTGGAGGCCCTCCCACGTACCTTTACATTGATTTGTGTTTTTGTCAAGAATTGCCTTTGTGGATACAATTTTTCCATACCTGAAAGAGATAAAGAAAGAGAAAAAAATCCATGTTATTATAACCCAACAGAAGTGTTTAGCATACATCTTTTATTATTATCATCTTGAAACAGTTGTACAAAAGGGGTTCAGAACAAGTCAGATTATGAGTACAATGTATCTTGATTAACATCACCCTTTTCCTCATCTTTCAGACCCACAAATGTTCTCAAGTTACAAGGTTCCATTTTCACATATGTACATTGAATATAATGACTGTGTTCTCTCTCTCTCTTTCTCTCTCTCTCTCTCTCTCCTTTTACCTCCTCCTCTCTCCTAGAATCACCTCCCACAAAAACATATTTCAACTTTGTGGTATTTATTTGTTAACATATTTAAATGCATATAAGTGTACACAAAACTGAGCATGAAGCAGACATGCTGTTAGCTACCATTTGATACCTGGATGCTCTCTCATCAGTTCTTCTTTTTGAATTAGGAACGTACTTCCTGACATAAGCACCAAGGGAAGGGAGTGGGGGGGGGCACCTTCACAGTTCACAGATCATCTATGAGCCTGTGTCACAGGATGCTGGAAGGGGATGGTATGTGATTGTAGCAGAAGTAAATATCAACCTATGGATTTGTGGAGACAAGTGTGAGCCTTGCTGCCACATTTCATGGAGTCTGTTCTCCATGCAGACAAATGCCTTTGCTATAACCTTGAACATTTCAGGCCATAGGAGTTTCTTCTGTAAAAATAAGCTATGCACAGAAACCTTATGGTTCAATCAACCTTTATGTGCTTCAGAAATCAGATGCAGAGCTTCAGAGTGCATAAGTTAAAAGAATAACAAACACCTCATCTTGTTTGGTTGGATGAGTCATATTCACTCTATACATGATTTCATCATCCATAACGACATACACATTTACTTAAATCATGTCCTGGATCATTATTTAGAAAGTGATGAAGATAATGTTACAGTTGTTATGAAGATTTACTCGAGTGTTTAGGACCGTGGCTGTTAAGTAAGTGCTTACTAAGTTGAACTTTTCTTCTAATTGTTCTCTCTGACCTCTGGGAGGAATACAACAAACCCTCAAGTAGATTAGATGGATGGTTGCTAAAAGCAATATAAAGTTAAAAGATTGTTATGAAGGGAAAAGGTAAGTGCCTGGCACTAGTAATCCTAGCTATTCAGGAGGCTACAATCTAAGAATCATGGTTCAAAGCCAACACAGGCAGAAAAGTCCATGAGACTCTTAGCCTTAATTACCTAACAAATGATGGAAATGGAGGTGTGACTTAAGTGGTAGAGCAACAATCTTGAACAAAAAAGCCAAGTATGAGTGTGAAGCCTGGAGTTCAGTAACCAGTACCAGCATATGCATGCGCGCACACACACACACACACACACACACACACACAGAATCACAGGCACACACATGCACACATGCACACACACAAATAATTTACTTAAAAATTAAAGAGATGAATGTTACCTATTAAACTATATCTTAAATTTGTAATTTACACTCTTATTTTCAGTGTAAAGATTTCAGGAACTATTTCTAATAAGCTCATTCTTACCAAAACCCCACAAGTCCTTTCTTATTCCCTCAAAATAAATACCTCCATGATTCTCTTTCAGATTTTACTTCATCTCAAGATAGTCTTGGGCAAACAACCTGTAAAATCATCTCCTACTTAAACCTTCTGTTTACAATAATACCAATTAGCTAGATGTCATGTTTATTAGCTTTGGTATATTCAAGCAAATCAACATTTAAAATGGATACAGAATAGCAAAGAAGACAAGGATATTTTGTACATTTTTTATTCCGTTTAGCGTGTGAGAGTTTAAAACAAAACAAAAAAACAATGAACAGAACTCAACAACACAGACCAGGGACAAAAATCCTTAACCCTCCCCCAACTCCCCCCTGCTCCTTTTTTATTGTTATTATAAAGGTGATGTACAGAAGTCTCCAGCACTGTTCATTGGCTGAGCAGGCACCCAAGCCATTTTGGAAAAAGCATTTTAGGGAGAACACTCAGCATTATGAAAAGAAGCATTTGGACAGGAGCCTGAGCCACTATGAGAACAAGAAGCTCCATGATTGGTCCCATCTTATGTGATTCAGCATTTTAGTGAGGCCTGCCACCTTTGATTTCTGTCACCTATCAGTTCACTTTTCTCTCTTTTAGTTTCATGCAGCAAAATGTGTTATAACACCACTCAAGGGCTCAGCAGAGGGAGTTTAAAGTTCTTTATTATGAACTGTTTTTATTTATTTATTTATTTTTGTCAGTCATGGGGCTTGAACTCTGGACCTGGGCGCTATCCCTCAGCTCTTCAGGTCAAGGCTAGCGCTCTACCACTTGAGCCACAGTGCCACTTCTGGTTTTTCTGGAGTTTATTGGAGATAAGAGTTTCATGGACTTTCCTGCCCAGCCTGGCTTTGAACCGTGATCCTCAGATCTCAGCCTCCTGAGTAGCTAGGATAACAGGCATGAGCTCCTGGTACCCAGCTATGAACTGTTTTATAAAATTATATTAAGTTTCCAAAGACAAAGAAAAACTTTGAGGCATAACACTTATGAGAAATTTCATAAGTATAACAACTACTGCAAGCTTTTTAGTAGATATACAAGTTTTACTATTGAAAGGATTATTTAATGCAATGAAGTCAAAAGCATATTTCTCAGAGAGATTGTCGACAAAATTGAGTGTCTTGAACTGTCAGTGAAATATTTCTGAGTTTCATAACATTTAAAAACACACTTCTGTGATTAAATTGCAGGAGAATGCAACTGCTTCATTTAAAAGAGTCGGAATTCACAAAAGTAAAACAGATAAAGCCATATAATCTAGAAAGAAATAGTTTCCTGAAGGTAATTTTCATTTCTTTTAAAGCTCACATGTACAAAAAGCAGAAGAAATGAAATTAAGTCTAAGTTTAAAATAATGCATTTTCCCATAATTACGAAAATATATAAAACAAAATATTCATGTGGAAGAGAGGCTGGACTTTTTGTTTTTCAACACATTGACATCTTTGTATTAAATTTTGAGAAGCATGTTGCATAAAGCTGTTCTGTGTCACTTCAAAAGATCAGTAGTTGTGGAACTATACCAGGAAGCCCATTGACCAGTGTATATTCAAGTAACTCATAATAATATAAATCATTGATGCAGTCCAACTACTTCTGTGAAAATTATTGGCTTTAGAGACTCTGCATTATATTCAGAACATTTAAAATTATATGTAAAATACATGTAACTCCTTAATTAACTATATAAAAGTATATGTTAAGCAATCTTGCTCAAAAAACAAGCTTACAATCCAGGGGTAGATTGCTCTTTTCTGTTATTCTAGCTATTTAGGAGAATGAGTTCTGAGGATTGAGGTTCAAAAGTCAGCCCTGGCAGAAAAGTCTGTGAGATTCTTAGATCCAGTTAACCAGCAAAAAACCAGAATGGGAGCCAGGACTCAAATGGCAGAGTGCTAGACTTCAGTGCAAAAGCTAAAGGACAATGCCCAGGCTATGAACACACACACACACACACACACACACACACACACACACACACACACACACGGGAGTGTGTGTGCTTGTAATAGAAATAAAAAAACACTAGTTGTTTTTAATTTGGTTTGTTAGGACAATCCAGAGAGCAGATTTTAAAATTTATGTATTGCTGTCTTAACTCCTCTATCAGTGACTTCACATTTCTTTGTCTTAATCCTCCCCAATAGTGCTGCAGGTGTATAAACAAACCACCTAGTACATTCCTTTCATTCTACAGGGCATTTTGCATGACAAAGAACACTTCCAGACACTTAAGTTTTTGCCACTCTGGAGGGTCTCGGACTAAAGAAAAAATGTATCTGTTCCCCATATACCAGAAAGAATAGAATGTCTACTTATAGATTCCTCACCTAATAATTCATTTTTATGACACATTTTTAATGTATTAATTTCCACCACAAAATTTCACATGATTGTCTGTACATAATATGGTATCTGTTCTCATATCACCCAAAGCCTTGTTTTTCCAGCTTTATTGAAACACCTATGACTGAATCTTTGTTTTATGTGCAGACCAGTAATACTTTAGGGAAGATGCCATGGCTATTGCATATTTGTAGTGGAGACCATCTACACATAGTAGAAGTATAACATTCTCACTATTGGTAATGCTCCTCTAGGACAGATGAGACCAGCTGTTCTTAACTGGTTATAATAAGCTAATCATTAACTGGCAATGCTCTACTCTTGATTAATTATCCTTCTTTTTTGTATTTAATTGTGCCTTAAGAGTCCACTGTAGATACCATTGTTCACACAATAATAAACTCTTTGTTATCATATGCTCAGTTGGATTGCAGTATCATCTCAGGAAAAGATAATCCAAGAATATGTTTTGTATTTTAATAGTCCTTTAGTCCTGCATGGTGCTTACATCTTACTAACAGCAGTCAAGGGAGACACTGTAAAAGCCTGATTTCTTTTTCTAGTCTTTCTATTTCCATCATATCCATAAATCTAACAAAATTTGATTACCACAAGATTCTTAGAATTTCCCTTGCTATAATGTAATTCTATCAACATCCAATTTTCTTCCTGATTTCCTGCCTCCCTACCTATAACTCCCTTTGCCTAATATCAGGTTTTTGTTGTTTTTCTCAGTCAGATATAGTTTACTCTCCATTTCTTTTGTCTTGTATTCAGAGCCACCTCTGCCCCAGGATGCCTCCATCCCAGATCAGTACCCACTGCTGGTGGAATCTTGACAGTTACTTAAGAAGATAGACCATGCATGCCCTGTCTTGCATAGTAGAGACTCAGAAGGCCAAAGTGGGCACAGAGCAGCTCAGCTCTGGCTTATCTAGGGAAGGCCCTGGGGAGAAGGTGTGGCCAGGTGAGGGAAGGTGTGGCCAGGTGGGGGAAGGTGTGGCCAGGTGGGGGAAAGTGTGGCCAGGTGAGGGAAGGTGTGGCTAGGAGGAGGAAGGTGTGACCACAGAACTGTG